GCATCTCCGGTAGTACTAGTACCGAAGCGCGACGGCACCACACGCTTCTGTGTAGACTATCGGAGGCTCAACGATCGCACCATAACGGATGCCTACCCAATGCCCAGAATAGACGAGTTACTAGACCGTATGGCTGGGGGGGAATTACTTGACCACCCTGGACTTGTGCAAGGGGTATTGGCAGATCCCCCTGGAGACTGCAGCCATACCCAAGTCAGCATTCATCACTCCTTTTGGGCTTTACCAATTCAAGGTTATGCCCTTTCGGATGAAGAATGCTCCGGCTACCTTTCAGCGGATGGCTGATAGGCTCCTGGAGGGGCTCCATGACTTCACATGTGCGTATTTAGACGATATTGCTGTCTACAGCCGCACATGGGGGGATCACCTGGGACACGTATCCAGGGTGCCCGAGCGAATTCACCAGGCAGGGCTCACATTAAAGCCTGACACATGTCATGTCGGTATGGCTGAGGTACAGTACCTCGGCCACTGGGTAGGTTCAGGTAAACAGCGGCCCGAACTTGCTAAAGTAGAGGCCATAGCGAATTGGCCCCAACCCCGGACCAAAACCCAGGTCTTAGCCTTTTTAGGAACATCCGGCTATTACCGGAAATTTGTCCCCAAGTATAGTGCCCTGGCCAAACCCCTCACTGACCTCACCAAAAAGGCCCTCTCAAAACAGGTAACCTGGACCCCAGAGTGCGCGGAAGTGTTCCAGAAACTGAAAGCGGCATTAAGTGAGGCTCCTGTGTTGGCAGCACCCGACCACTCTAAACAATTTCTTGTCCACACAAATGCCTCCATGTTTGGGCTGGGAGCCGTGTTAAGCCAGGTGGGAGACGACGGCATGGAACACCCGGTGGCCTACCTCAGCCGTAAACTTTTGCCCAGAGAGGTCAGCTATGCCACCGTGGAGAAAGAGTGCCTAGCCCTAGTGTGGGCGCTTAAGAAACTTCAACCTTACCTGTACGGCCGGCCATTTACTCTAATGACAGATCATAACCCGCTGGTGTGGTTAAATCGGGTAGCTGGCGACAATCCCAGATTATTGTGGTGGAGCCTAGCGCTTCAGCCATACAATTTCACCATGCAGTACCGTCCGGGCAAACAAAATGGTAATGCAGACAGTCTGTCCCGCCAGACCGACCTGGATGTTTAAAAGACTCTTTCTCGGACATCCCCAAGCCAACCCGACACGGTCTAGGCGGGTATGCCGACCTATGGACTTATAGGGGAGCAGTGTGAAGAAACCCCCCTGTTCCCTATGTGATTTACTGTTTGCATTCCCTTTTTATCCTCTATTTTGCTGCCTAGATGAAACTACCGAACAAGGACCACCCTCTGGCTCATTAAACATCAAAGGTTTAGGTGGAATTGCTACCTCTGTCTGTGCGGCCAGCGTTCGTTAGTCGAACGCAACGTGGCAGAGAAAACCGCGGCCATCTTTGTTCATGCGAACAAAGGCAGCGGGACCTGGTCGTCGAGTGCATGGAACTGTTTCATGGACACTCGACTTCCCGAACACCGGTCCCAAACAGACGAACGCTGGAACTCTATTTACCGAATAGCTAGAAGAGCGCTATTCAGTACTTTGGTGCATTCGACAGAGGGTCACGAACGCTGCTAGGAGCCAGAGGGATCCATTCGGTACTTTTATTCATTTTTATGTTTTTCGAAAGTGACCGGCAAAACCCACCAAATTCGTGGAACTGTTTTGGGCATGCAGCCCAGGGTGAGCCGGTCACACAAGACTTCCATAAAATTTGCGAACCCCTGAACCGATCTGGGTGAAATTCGAATATGTTGGTCATCCAGATCAGGGCTATCAGGGGACACATAATTTATGGGGATACCCCCAGTATAAAGGGGTGTTCTGAAAGTTGGGGAAAAAGTGATTTTTCAGCCCAGAGATAATTAAGTTACTATTTTATCAGACTAAATTATCTCCTGGGCTAGGGGAGGGAATTGTAGGTGTGTGTTAACATTTTACTGTTTGTGATTGGTTATTGTTTGTCCCTCCCTGAGGGCTGTCCCCTTGCATGGGGACTTGCATAAAAGCTGTGTGCACCCATTAAAGGACAGCTCATTTTGTTCATTCGTGTGTTTCACTGAGGGAATTATCTGGTGAGACTATTGGAATTTCTATAGGATTCGTCTACCCTAACTACTGAAAGGAGGGCTATAATCACTAAGGCTCTGGCGGTTCGGGAGGAAACTACCGAATGAGGTTAAATATACTTGGTTTCCTTACAAGACTCTTCAAAGAAGAAGCTTCACTTAAATCAAATCTGTAACAGGAACAAAATAATTTGTTAAATACAGCGTTAACATTTTCTAAATGTTTCAGCATTTCTCTAAAAGTTTTTAATTAATAGAATTCAACATTTTACAGACCTGTTATGTATTATAAGTAGAGTTGAGCGGACACCTGGATGTTCGGGTCCGGCGGGTTCGGCCGAACATTGAAAAAAAGTCAGTGTTCGGGCTCGCACTTGACCCCGAACCCGAACCCCATTGAAGTCAATGGGGACCCGAACTTTTGCACACTAAAATTCCTCTAAAAAAGTCCTGGAAAGGGCTAGAGGGCTGCAAAAGGAAGTAAAATGGGGGTAAGAGTAGGACAAGTGCCCTGCAAACAAATGTGGATGGGAAAAATCACTTAAAATAACATAAAATGCATAAAAATTTAAAATACAGCTGAGCCATAAAATAGCACTAGATGGAACCTTTGATTTTAGCTTTGGAAGAACATAAATCAAAATCTAAAGCATGGCTGTCAGGAGGATCACCAGAATTATCCATTTGAGAGAGGGTTGGAGTGCAGGGTATTCTCTTTCATTGTTTAAACTGAGATCAACTCCTGATGCATGGAGAAAAGGCCTTCACAAGCCTCTGCTATTGTGTACATAGTTTATACTACGTGACCCATAGGCTGAGGAGGCGGTGACCGTGGCGGTGTAGGTGGAAGCAGCGGTGGAGGAGGAGGAGGTAGCCAACATTGTTTTTTATATATATATATTTTTTTTATTTTTTTTAATGGGGTAGCCCCCAAAATATTGGGACATATAAAAAAAGACAACTCTATTCCGCAGAGCGACTGACCCGTGCGTGCTGCAGCTGAAACTCCACTATCGCCTGCTGCTGCTCGCACAGTCTCATGAGGCGGTGAGCGGGAAGGCTGAAGTTATGCTGCAGCGCAGACAGGCGAGCAGCAGCAGGAGATGAGGAGGAAGTGTGCAAGGAGGTGTAACGGCACCTGGCACATTACCGAGAGCCACCCTCAGAGGAGATTGTCAGCAGGACCTTTTTGGAGGTGCAAGCCTATGTCCTTGCCAATAGACAGAGGGCGACCTCCATGAACCCAGATGAAGGAAGACGGGAGCAGAGGGCGCCGGGAAGCACAACCACCCTGGCCCACAAGCTACCATACAATGCCTTCAAAGACTTCAAGGAAGCAGAAGAAGGCATTGATGACTTTTTACAAGACTTTGAGCGCCAGTGCCTACTCCAAGACGTGAACCCCAGCGAATGGGTCCCCATCCTGGCCAGCAAAATAGTGGGGAAGGCAGGGGATATTTACCGGGCTGTACCAGAAGAGCAGATCAGAGACTATCCCTTTATTACCCAAATCCTCCTGGCCCAGTATGCGGTCACTCCCGAGCAATACCGCAGAAAGTTTAGGGAGACTCAGAAAGGGGAGAAGGACTCCCATGCGGAGTGGGCATGCCGCCTCACAAGGGACACCCAGAACTGGCTCAACTCCCATCAAGCCAAGTTCCCAGAGGAGATCACCCAGCTCATCATGCTAGAGCACTTTTTCAATGGGCTCCCCAACGACATGGCTGGTGAGAGACCGCCAGCCCCAGACCCAAGAAGTATTGGTAAGAGCTGCTGAAGCTAGTTCACGATATCCCCTTGACATGGCATTTGGGCAGGAGCCGGACAGCGTCTCGGCTCACCCACAGCTTCTTCTGGCCAGGCATCTCTCAGGATCTGAGGCAGTACTGCCAGATGTCTGCCAGAGAGTGGGGAAGAGAAGGAACCGGAAAGGGCCCCCTCCATCCCATACCTTTTAGTGAAGATCCGTTCGGCAGAGCAGCTGTCGACATTATAGTTGCGCAGGCACTTTGTTGACTCTAGAGAACCTCGGGCCAATCGCACGTCGTGGCGGCGACTTTGCATTCGGACATCATCCATATCAATTTTTAATGCCAGTTTCTGCTCCTACCGTGGTGACCACAGGTAACGGGGAATCAGGGTTGGATTACGGAGAGGGAATCTGAGAAATGACTACCACATGCAAGGAAGGCAGCAGGCACGCAAATGACCCACTCCCGATGCGGGAAGGTAGTGACGTCAAATAACAATACAGGACTCATTAGAGGCCCTGTAATTGTAATGAGTCCACTTGAAATCCTTTAACTCTGATCAATTGGAGGGCAAGTCTGGTGCAGAACGACTGACCCGTGCGTGCTGCAGCTAAAACTCCACTATTGCCTGTTGCTGCTCGCACAGTCTCTCCAGCATGTGCAAGGTGGAGTTCCACCTTGTGGGCACGTCACATATGAGGCGGTGAGCGGGAAGGCCAAAGTTACGCTGCAGCGCAGACAGGCGAGCAGCAGGGTGAGAACGCCGAAAGCGCGCACAGCCACTACAGTGAATGTCACATCCTGTTCCAAGTTGTGGATCAGTCTGGTGATGGCTTCCTGGCATCCAGTACTCTTTTTACTGAAGCTGCATCAGGGTCCTGGTATGTGGCCGCACAAACGCTGGTGCTCAACACCCGGGGGCATGCGGTTACCCTGCACCAGACCCTGCTAATCCATTCCACATTGTGACTCCTAACTTCAACATCAGTCATACTGGGTCCCGGTCGTCCGACCGCCGCCCAGACAGTGTCTGGGTCCTGGTCACCGGACTGCCCTCCTGACTGTAAAACTGCGAATGGCTCATTAAATCTGTTATGGTTCTTTTTATCGCTCCATCTGTTACTTGGATAAGTGTGGGAATTCTAAAGATAATATATGCCGACAAGCGCTGGGGGAAGGCCGCTCCGCTTTTGCATGCTGCTCCCTCTTATGCTGTGCTGGTGCCTCTATGCGACCAGCGCCTCTTCCTCCAAACTGCACACATCACTCGCATGACCTTGATTCCATGTGGGGTCTAGGACCTCTTCATCCTCCACATCATCTTCCACCCACTCCTCCACCGTGCCCTCCTTGCCGGTCTGCACACTGCAGAAAGCCACAGCAGTTAGCACCTGTGTTTTCAGCATGTAAAGTCTGCAAAGGACATATGGAAATTGTTTTAGAATTGTATCCAGGCAACAGTTTTCCCTATAAACTGACCTCTTAGTCTGACTTGTGAGGGTATTGCCCCCGAATTACAATATTGTTATATTGGTATTTGACGGTTCTATTTGACTGTCAGATATGAAGTGCAGGCCGCAAATGTACTATTTAGCACCCAAAAAAATTGAATTGGTCAAACTGCGCTGTAACCACAGTATATACAGCACGCCCAAAATGTACTATTTAGCAGATTAGCAGCAAAACAATTAGAATTTTTACAACTGCGCTGTAAGCGCACTATTTGACGCTTCTATTTGACTCTCAGATATGAAGAGCATGCCCAAAATGTACTATTCAGCAGATTAGCACCCAGAAAATAAGAATGTTTACAACTGCGCTGTAAGCGCACTATTTGACGCTTCTATTTGACTCTCAGATATGAAGTGCATGCCCCAAAATGTACTATTTAGCAGATTAGCAGCAAAACAATTAGAATGTTTACAACTGCGCTGTAAGTGCACTATTTGACGCTTCTATTTGACTCTCAGACATGAAGTGCAGGCCCAAAATGTACTATTTAGCAGATTAGCAGCAAAACAATTAGAATTTTTACAACTGCGCTGTAAGCGCACTATTTGATGCTTCTATTTGACTCTCAGATATGAAGAGCACACCCAAAATTTACTATTTAGCACTTTAGCAGCAAAACTATTAGAATTTTTACAACTGCGCTGTAAGCGCACTATTTGATGCTTCTATTTGACTCTCAGATATGAAGAGCACGCCCAAAATGTACTATTTAGCACTTTAGCAGCAAAACTATTAGAATTTTTACTATTGCACTGTAAGCGCACTATTTGACGCTTCTATTTGACTTTCAGATATGAAGAGCACACCCAAAATGTACTATTTAGCAGATTAGCAGCAAAACAATTAGAATTTTATAACTGCGCTGAACGCGCACTATTTGACGCTTCTATGTGACTCTCAGATATGAAGAGCACGCCCAAAATGTACTATTTAGCACTTTAGCAGCAAAACAATTAGAATTTTTACTACTGCACTGTAAGCGCACTATTTGACGCTTCTATTTGACTCTCAGATATGAAGAGCACGCCCAAAATGTACTATTTAGCACTTTAGCAGCAAAACAATTAGAATTTTTACTACTGCACTGTAAGCGCACTATTTGACGCTTCTATTTGACTCTCAGATATGAAGAGCATGCCCAAAATGTACTATTCAGCAGATTAGCACCCAGAAAATAAGAATGTTTACAACTGCGCTGTAAGCGCACTATTTGACGCTTCTATTTGACTCTCAGATATGAAGTGCATGCCCCAAAATGTACTATTTAGCAGATTAGCAGCAAAACAATTAGAATGTTTACAACTGCGCTGTAAGTGCACTATTTGACGCTTCTATTTGACTCTCAGACATGAAGTGCAGGCCCAAAATGTACTATTTAGCAGATTAGCAGCAAAACAATTAGAATTTTTACAACTGCGCTGTAAGCGCACTATTTGATGCTTCTATTTGACTCTCAGATATGAAGAGCACGCCCAAAATGTACTATTTAGCACTTTAGCAGCAAAACTATTAGAATTTTTACTACTGCACTGTAAGCGCACTATTTGACGCTTCTATTTGACTCTCAGATATGAAGAGCACACCCAAAATGTACTATTTAGCAGATTAGCAGCAAAACAATTAGAATTTTACAACTGCGCTGTAAGCGCACTATTTGACGCTTCTATTTGACTCTCAGATATGAAGTGCACCCCACTAAAATACTATTTAGCAGTTAAGCACCCAAAAAAATTTAAGTTTTAAAACTGCAATGTGACAGCAGTATTTGACGCTTCTATTTGACTCTCAGATATGAAGAGCACGCCCCAAATTTACTATTTAGCAGTTTAGCACCCAAAAAATTAGACTTTTTAAAACTCTGATGTAACCACAGTATTTGACGCTTCTATTTAATTGACTTTTTAAAACTCTGATGTAACCGCAGTATTTGAGGCTTCTATTTGACTCTCAGATATGAAGTGCACCCCACTAATGTACTAGTTTGCAGAATTCTTTCCTAAGTTGTCCCTCACAGATGCAGCATCCTCTCCCTACACTAAAAGGACCTCATGTGCGTGCGGCGCTACGCGACTCCAGCTTATATATAGAGCCTGGGTCACATGCTGCACTGGCCAATCACAGCCATAGTTTGCTATAGAGAAGGGGGACTCAGAGACCATGTCCAGTGCTAAAATCTTACATGGTGAGATGAAGACCTGGTCTTTTCTGCTTTGCACAATGACCTGGTACAATTTTTTGTACCAGATCAATCATGTCAGCAAGCTGCTACAAAGTCCAAATGTTTCCATGGAAACACTTAGATCAGAAACAGAAGGAGTAAAAGACTACCTTGAAGACAGGAGAAGCACAGTTGGACCCCCGCCCTCCCTCCCCACTTGCTAATTTTTTTTATAATTAATGTCGTGGTGTTGGAAAGCATAGGGGCAAAGTCATCATCAGGTTCAAGTTCTGAGGAAGGATATGTGTTAAATGGTTGTATATAAAAGGCAGTCAGGTTAACTATGACTGACTGGCGATTAAGTGATGGTGAAAGTTAAAAAAGTGTTCGAAGTAAAGTGAAAACATTTATGTGAATATGTTACCGTTATAAAGTTATGGTGGTATGCCCCTATAAATAAACACCACAGCCAAGCCCGTTGAAATATAAATAAACTGTGTCTGTGTTTATTGTGTGTTCTAAGTTATTTATGCAAAATATTGCCTACCATACATATTCTATGAATAATAAAAATAACTGAAAGAGGAGTAATGCACTCTACAGGGAGTGCAGAATTGTTAGGCAAGTTGTATTTTTGAGGATTAATTTTATTATTGAACAACAACCATGTTCTCAATGAACCCAAAAAACTCATTAATATCAAAGCTGAATATTTTTGGAAGTAGTTTTTAGTTTGTTTTTAGTTATAGCTATGTTAGGGGGATATCTGTGTGTGCAGGTGACTATTACTGTGCATAATTATTAGGCAACTTAACAAAAAACAAATATATACCCATTTCAATTATTTATTATTACCAGTGAAACCAATATAACATCTCAACATTCACAAATATACATTTCTGACATTCAAAAACAAAACAAAAACAAATCAGTGACCAATATAGCCACCTTTCTTTGCAAGGACACTCAAAAGCCTGCCATCCATGGATTCTGTCAGTGTTTTGATCTGTTCACCATCAACATTGCGTGCAGCAGCAACCACAGCCTCCCAGACACTGTTCAGAGAGGTGTACTGTTTTCCCTCCTTGTAAATCTCACATTTGATGATGGACCACAGGTTCTCAATGGGGTTCAGATCAGGTGAACAAGGAGGCCATGTCATTAGATTTTCTTCTTTTATACCCTTTCTTGCCAGCCATGCTGTGGAGTACTTGGACGCGTGTGATGGAGCATTGTCCTGCATGAAAATCATGTTTTTCTTGAAGGATGCAGACTTCTTCCTGTACCACTGCTTGAAGAAGGTGTCTTCCAGGAACTGGCAGTAGGACTGGGAGTTGAGCTTGACTCCATCCTCAACCCGAAAAGGCCCCACAAGCTCATCTTTGATGATACCAGCCCAAACCAGTACTCCACCTCCACCTTGCTGGCGTCTGAGTCGGACTGGAGCTCTCTGCCCTTTACCAATCCAGCCATGGGCCCATCCATCTGGCCCATCAAGACTCACTCTCACTTCATCAGTCCATAAAACCTTAGAAAAATCAGTCTTGAGATATTTCTTGGCCCAGTCTTGACGTTTCAGCTTGTGTGTCTTGTTCAGTGGTGGTCGTCTTTCAGCCTTTCTTACCTTGGCCATGTCTCTGAGTATTGCACACCTTGTGCTTTTGGGCACTCCAGTGATGTTGCAGCTCTGAAATATGGCCAAACTGGTGGCAAGTGGCATCGTGGCAGCTGCACGCTTGACTTTTCTCAGTTCATGGGCAGTTATTTTGCGCCTTGGTTTTTCCACACGCTTCTTGCGACCCTGTTGACTATTTTGAATGAAACGCTTGATTGTTCGATGATCACGCTTCAGAAGCTTTGCAATTTTAAGAGTGTTGCATCCCTCTGCAAGATATCTCACTATTTTTGACTTTTCTGAGCCTGTCAAGTCCTTCTTTTGACCCATT